CTAGGTCTCTTCTGGTTCCAGATGAAATTTAGGAGTGATTTCTCTAGATCTATAAGGTATGTTGATGGTATTTCTATTGGGATTGCATTGAATCTGTATAAGAGTTTTGGGAGAATGGCCATCTTCACAATGTTTGTTCTTCCTATCCATGAGCAAGGGATGTCTTTCCATTTTCTGAGATCATCTTCAATTTCCTTTTTCAGTGTATTATAGTTTTCACTGTATAAGTCTTTCACTTCTTTCGTAAGAGTAATTCCTAAATATTTCATTTTTTTGCTTGCTAATGTGAATAGTCCAGTTTCTCTTATTTCCCTCTCTGTAATTTTGTTGTTCGTGTATAGGAATGCTATTGATTTCTGAGTATTGATTTTGTATCCAGCCACATTACTGAATTTATTTATTGTATCTAAGAGTATTTCAATGGAGTTTAGGGGGTCTTCTATGTAGAGTATCATGTCATCTGCAAACAATGATAACTTAACTTCTTCTTTTCCTATCTTTACCCCTTTTATTTCTCTTTCTTGCCTAATTGCTCTGGCTAGTACTTCCAGTACTATATTAAATAGGAGTGGTGATAAAGGACATCCTTGTCTTGTGCCTGATTTTAAAGTAAAGGCTTTCAATTTTTGGCCATTTAGAATGATGCTGGCTGTTGGTTTGTCATAAATGGCCTTTATTATATTGAGGTAAAGACCATCTATTCCAATTTTCTGTAGAGTTTTTATCATGAATAAATGTTGGACCTTATCGAAGGCTTTTTCTGCATCTATAGAAATGATCATGTGATTCTTATTTTTGGCTTTATTGATATGGTGGATTACATTTATTGATTTGCGTATGTTGAACCATCCTTGCATTCCTGGGATGAATCCCACTTGGTCATGGTGTATAATCTTCTTGATGATTTGCTGGATCCTATTTGCCAATATTTTATTGAGGATTTTTGCATCTGTGTTCATTAGGGAGATCGGTCTATAGTTCTCTTTTTTAGTTGGGTCTTTCTCAGGTTTTGGTACTAGAGTAATATTTGCTTCCAGGAACGACTTAGGAAGGATTGCTTCCCTTTCAATTTCATTGAATAGTTTGAGGAGTGTCGGCATTAGGTCTTCTTTGTATTTCTTGTAGAATTCTGCAGTGAATCCATCTGGGCCTGGGCTCTTCTTGGTGGGTAAGGACTTAATTACATTTTCAATTTCAGTAACAGAGATTGGGTTATTCAACAGTTTTACATCCTCTTGATCTAGCTTTGGCACTTCATATGCTTCTAAGAATCTGTCTATTTCTTCTGTGTTATCAAACTTTTGAGAGTAGAGGTTTTCGAAGTAGGTGTTGATGATCTTCTGTATTTCTATTGGGTCTGTAGTGATTTCTCCTTTTTCATTTCTTATTGCATGAATTTGAGCTTTTTCTTCCCTTTTTTTAATAAGGTTGGCTAGGGGCTTATCGATTTTATTTATTCTTTCAAAGAACCAACTCTTTGATTTGTTGATTCTTTGGATTGTTTTCTTAGTCTCTATTGCATTGATTTCTGCTCTGATTTTTATAATTTCCTCTCTTCTTTTGGCTTTGGGCTTGACTTGCTCTTCTTTTTCTAGCTGTTTGAGGTGTAGCATCAAGTTATTTATTTGTATTCGTTCTGTTTTCCTGATGTGGGAACTCAGTGCAATAAATTTTCCTCTCAGGGCGGCTTTCATTGCATCCCACAGGTTCCGGTAAGTTGTATCTGTATTTTCATTTTCTTTTAGGTATTGTTTGATTTCTTCTTTAATTTCCTCTGTGACCCACTGATTACTCAAGAGTGTGTTATTCAGTTTCCATGTGTTTGTGGGATTTTTGCAGTATCTTTTATCATTAATTTCTAATTTCAGAGCGCTATGATCCGATAACATGCAAGGGATGATTTCAGCTCTTTTGCACTTGTTTAAATATGTTCTGTGAGCTAATATATGGTCTATTTTAGAAAATGATCCATGTACTGCTGAGAAGAATGTGTATTCTGATGTTGTTGGGTGGAACATCCTGTATATGTCTATCAAACCCATTTGTTCACAGGTATGATTCAGTTCTGTTATTTCTTTGCTCATTTTCTGTCTGGTTGATCTGTCCCTTGGTGTCAATGGCGTATTAAGGTCTCCTGTTACAATTGTGTTACTGATAATTTGAGTTTTCATTTCTGTTAATAATTGTTTTATATAACTTGGTGCTCTGGAGTTTGGTGCGTATATATTTAAGATAGTTATCTCTTCCTCTTGGAGTTTTCCCCTTACAAGTATGTAGTGACCTTCTTTGTCCTTTATGGTCATTGTTGGTTTAAAGTTCACGTTGTCTGCAAACAGAATGGCTACTCCTGCCTTTTTCTGGATTCCTGCTGCATGAAGAATTGTTTTCCATCCTTTGACTTTCAGTCTGTGAGTATCCTTCTGGGTTAGATGGGTTTCCTGTAAACAGCATATGGTTAAATTTTGTTTCTTGATCCATTCTGCTAGTCTGTTTCTTTTGATTGGTGCATTGAGACCATTTACATTAATGGTTATTACTGTTAAATGCTGGTTAATTGTAGGAATGTTATCTCTCTGCTGTTGCATCTTTATCTTTCTGTTCTGTTTAATTATTTGCTTTGCTTAGTGGTTTTTTCCTTTGTGTATCTAAACTGTCTTTCAATATTTTTTGCAGGGTCGGTTTGGTGTTCATGAAGTTCTTCAGCTGTTCTTTGTCATGGAAGTATCGTATTGCACCATCTATTTTGAATGATAGTTTTGCAGGATATATCAGTCTTTGTTGGAAATCATTTTGCTTTAGGATCTGGAATATTTCACTCCATGCTCTTCTTGACTTTATCGTTTGTGCTGAGAAGTCTGCTGTGATTCTGATAGGTTTTCCTTTATAAGTGATCTGTCTTTTCTCTCTGACAGCTTTTAGTAATCTATTCTTGTGTTGGATTTCTGGGATGGTGATTATTATATGTCTGGGTGTAGTTTTATTTTGGTTATGAGTGTTTGGAGTTCTATATGCTTCACTAATCTTGATGTCAGTTTCTGATCTCATGCTTGGGAAATTTTCAGCTATTACTTCTCTAAATATCCGCTTGACATCCTTTATGTTGTCTCCCTCTCTTTCATTAATCCCTATCATTCTTATGTTATTCTTCTTTGCATCGTCTTGCAGTTGTTGAATTGTTGTTTCCTGATTCCTTGTTATTTTCAAAAGATCTTTCCTTTCCTGTTCACTAGCTGCAATCATGTCTTCAAGGTCTGAAATTCTATCTTCACTTTCATTAAGGCGGTTTTTACAACTTTCAGTGGAGTTTTTTATTTCCTGTATATCTCTGTGCATCTGCATTATGTATTCTGTTTGTTTCTTATATTGCTCGTCTAGGGATTCTATCTTTTTGTTTAGTTCCTCCAATTTTTTATCTGTGTTTTCTTTAGATATATTTAGAATCTCTTTCATTTCTTTTATCATTTCTTCTTTTATCTGGGAGATTATTTCGAGTTTGAATTTCTTTAAAGCTTCCTGGAGTTGTTTGTCAACTTCAGTAGCTATTATGTCCGATATATGAGGTGGATGGGATATATTTTCTTCTATATACATCGCTCCTAGGGTTTCCTGAGATGGGCTGGAGGTTTGAGGTTGTAATTTGGTCTTTCGTTTTGTCATTTTGTATATTTCTGTGTTTCAAGTGTTATTTGAAAGCTTCCTCAGGATCTGTTGAAAATCCCCTTCTATGCTTGGAGCTACTGAGCCTCTGACACCGCACTACCCCAAGCCATTGGGCCTGCAGAACCAGTGTCCCTCCTCTGCCTGCTCAGAACTCCGCAGTTCCAGACGAGCTGGGCCTCAGGGACACTGTGCGCCCACCTGCCCCTTGGAAGATCCACAGCTCTTCAATTGCAGCCGGGTTAGGGTGCTCTCCACAGGCCACAGTGCCTCAGGAGCCTGTGATCCCTCCCTGCTTGCAGAGATATCCACAGTCCTCTAGGCAAAGGAAGGGACTTCTGCAGGCACTCCAGATCCGCCCAGCTCCTCCTCTGCAGGCAGATGGCTAGGCGCGGCTGGGCTCGGGGGTTAGTGTAGGCCCGCCCATCCGTCAGGAGCTCAGCAGACTTCCAAGTGTAGCGGGGGGGGGGGGCAGCTGTAGTGGCCTCTAACCCACTGCTCCACTTCACTGCACCCAGAAGCCTGGGGGGTCCGGAACAGTCTGAGATTTGGGCAGACTGTGCTGGGCACTCACCACAGGCTGAGGTGCCTCAGGAAGCTGAGATGCCTCTCTGCTTGCAGAAGTATTCAGTCCTTCAGACAAAGGAACGGGCTTCTGCAGGGACTCCGGATCCGCCCAGCTCCTCCTCTGCAGGAGATGACAGTATGTTTTTCATGTGTCGCTTTTCTGACTGTCCTGGATAAAGGCCCAGTTCCCTTTGGAGCAGGACTGGGAATGCTGGTGCGGTTGTTCCCAGTTTCCTGGTCACCATCTCTCCATCCATCTCCACAGGGAGACAGGACGCAAGAGCGGAGTTCTGTGCCTTTCCCGTAACACGCCTGTGAGTTCTACTCACTGGTGTGCAAGAATAGAGAGAAAACCATGCCACTAGGGTGAATTCTTGTCTTTAACATTATGAGACATAAAGGACGGTATCAAATCCTTTAAGTTCTGTTGCTATTTTGGTGTAATTTCTAACAGAGGAACCCTTAGTGACCTCCTGGAAACAGAAATGGGTAGGATTTCTTCCCTACATTGCTCCAATAACAGTTCTTAATACCTGAACTTCAATTCCCAAAAAACATGATTCATGACATGTGTTTGGCAGAACTGTAGCCTTGAAAGTTTAAAGTATGGGGCATTTGGTGGTCACATAAACCCACAAAACTCATTGTCCCACCTTGGCTATCAATTTGTTTATAAAACTTCTAGTGCAGTGAATGTGTAGAGTGTGGACTGTTCCAGGAGATAGATTTGTTTGAGAATGTGCTCCTCATGACAGCTTTATGTTTCCATTCCCCAGAGGGAGAAGACGATGAGGATGAGGAGGATGAAGAAGATGAAGATGAGGAGGAAGAGGAAGATGAGGAAGATAAAGATACTGACTCCCTAGACGAGAGCTTTGATAGTGACACAGAACTGCCTGGCTTTACTCTCCCTGGTGTCACATCCCAGGAGCCTGACTTGGAGCGGGGAATGGGGGACCCACTGCGGGGAGCCACGTACCAGGTGCCTGACGCCATCGAGTGGGAGCATCGGAATCAAGGCCTGGGTAAGAGTCTGCGAGCTTTCCCGTCTTTCCTCTCGTCTTCCTTTTACTTTTCTGAGGCGGAGCTTTCTTCCACTGATGAGAATGACCTTTTCCTATGTTACGAGCGACTTGGGAAAAGATTACGTCCTTTGTCAGCAGACCCTGGTCTCCGTCTGCTCCTTGTGAGCAGCGTCACCTGCTTTTGGAAGGAATTCTATTTTTCCTTCCCAGCAAGAATATGGCTTTGGGAGGATTTGCAAGTGGGGTGTCAGCTCTGAATCCACCTCTCTGGACCTGAGGTGTAGGTGCCCTCTTGTCCAGAGAAATTCCCTCTTCAAAACTCTCCATCTCTAGCATCTGGGTCTGTTTATACTTTCAGTGTGACAGAAAGCTGCAGAGACGGGGTCTGGGGATTTAGCTCAGCGGCATAAGCGCCTGCCTTGCAAGTGTGCGGTTGTGAGTTTGACCCCTGGTACCAATAAAAAAAAAAAAAAAACGAAAAAGACAAAGCTGCAGTGATCATTTTGTCTGTGACCTTGTCACACCTCAACACAAATTTACTACTGCATAGGAGTCAGATTTTTAAGGAATCGACTTTCTGGAGGTGCAGTGCCTGGAAACTGCACCTGTGGAAGCGTACAGTTGAGTGCGTTTTGACCAGCATCAGCCGTGACCTCCTCCCAGCCACGGTGTGGCACATTTCTTCCTGTCTTCCCATCTTCGCAATGTCTTTCCTTGATTGCCCTGGCTCCACGTGGGCACCGTGTACTTTTGTCACTGTAGATTAGTCTGCAGTTTCTGTGTAAAGGAGTCATGTGGTGTATGAGATGTGGTCAAAATATACAGTGAATGTTTCAATTTAAAAACTGTTACAGTACACAGCGCTAGTGCTGTCAGTCCCTCCCGCAGTATCTCTCTTGCTTCCCACACACTTACCCCATCGCTCGTGCTGCCTTCTGAGGCAGCTCTGGAAGTCTTCGTGAATGTCTTCCATTGCTTTGCCTGGGGTGCTTGATGTCCTGAATGGACTCAGGATGTTTACCTTCCATAGTCATTTTGGCTTTGGGGAAGAGCCAGTAGTTGCACGGTTCCACGTCCAGTGAGTAAGGTCGAAGAGGACACACTGTCATGTTCCTATTTGACAGAAATTGCTGTAAATGGTTGATTAATGAGAGGGATCACAAAATATGGTAAATGTTTTTTTATTAAAAACATCTATTACAGTAAAAGAGATATTGCCATTAGTCTCTCTAAAAATATTCCAAATATTTTCTCCTTACTTTAAACATATCCCTTTTCTTTTTTTTTTAATTAATTAATTAATTTTTTTATTGGTACCACGGATTGAACTCATGACCGCCCGCTTGCAAGGTAGGCACTTAAGCCACTGAGCTAAATCCCCAGCCCCAACATATCCCTTTTCTTGGCAATTATGTCTGTTACTGTGGTAGGGTTTTTTTTAAATGTAAATATTTACTGTATTTTCTAATCACCCTTTATATGCTGTTTTGTACTTGGCCTGTTTCATTGGGCACCATGATTTTGAGATTCAACTATATCTGTGATTTGTCCTTTGTCATAAATGAGTAGTATTCAATTGTGGAGATTACTGCATTTTGTTTATCTGGTCACCTACTGATAAACAGTAGGTGAGTTGTTCCCAATTTTTAGCTAATAGTTACATTTTAAGGTGTGTCAGGCACAAAGCTTAGGAGAAACAGCTCCATAGCCGTCCTGTCCTGCCTCCTGACTCCAGCCCCCCTGCACAGCTGGTTTCATGAATGAATGATACCAACTTAATGGTACATTATGCTTTATTTATTTATTCATTTTATTTTACTAGTACATATTTATAATTCATGCAGTTTACAATCACCTTGAAAAGTGGTTACATGTATATATTACAGCTTTTTTAAAAAAAAAATCCCCTTGTTTTGCTTTTTTTTTTTTTTTTTTTTTTTGGTACTGGGAATTGAACTCACAACTGCACACTGCAAGGCAGGAGTTTATGCTACTGAGCTAAATTCCCAGCCCTTATTTTTGTTTTGTTTGGTGCCAGGGATCGAACTCATGACCTCGCGCTTGCCAGGCAGGCGCTTAAGCCACTGAGCTAAATCCCCAGCCCCCTTGCTATGCTTTTGAAAGGGATTTCTACCGGTCCTGAGTTTTTAACATCAGATTTTTTCTTATTATAATTTACTATTTCTAAAGATGTCTTTTGTTTTTTTCCCTAACTTCTCTCAATAAATTCATTTTGCCAGCCTGTTTTTAAGCATTCCCAAGTGCTCACGGGTCAGGTCTCTAATTTGTGATGGGTTTGTGGTAGAAGGAACAGTGGCTTTCCAGGACGTCCACATCCTGATCTCTGGAGACTGTGACACATTACCTTGCATGGCAGGATGGACATTGCTGATGGGATTTGGTTAAGGATCTTGAGGTATGAATGGGGATATGATTCTGGATTATCTAGGTGCCCAGCATAATCACAAAGGTTCTTAGAAGAGGGAGGTAGGGTCAGAATCAGAGGGGGAGGGGTGCTGAGGGAAGCATATGTTGGCGTGGTGTGGCAACCAGCAGCAGGCTGTGAGCCTGGGGTAGCCAAAAGGGCTGGGCATCTGCCCTCAAAGGTGCTGGGGAGTGTGTCCCTGCCAGTGCCGGGGTTACCACAGTGAGACTCACTTCAGACTGCTGACCTCCAAGGCTGTGAATAATGAATTTCTAAGGTTCTAAGTGCTAAGTTTATGTTGGTTTGTTACAGTAGCAAGAGGAAACCAATACAGGTTATAGTGTTTAGTGAGCTACATTGTGACCGGGAGTTGCATGGCAGCTCTAAATAGAATGTGAACATTTTAACAAGTCTACTCTTTTCCCTAATGAATCCATAAAAATAAAAATATGAGATTCTTTAAAAACAGCCCTATTTATTATAATAATACTTTATCTGCTTTATTCTTTTTTCCCCAATCATTACTAGAGGTTAATTCTAGGGCTTTTGTACCCAGCTATATCCTTAGCTCTTAAAAAAATTTCCATTTTGAGACAAGGCTTCACTAAGTCTCTGAATTGCCTGGGCTGAGCTCAAAATCGCCATCCTCCTCGCTCCGTCTCCCAGAGTGCTGGAATGAGAGGCGTGTGTCTCCATACCTGGTTTTCATTCCTATTTTTAAAATAAGTGGATTGTTTTACTTATAGACTACCACCTCCATTTTTATAATATGAATGGTATTCCAAAGCAAGTGCTAGAACCCATGTAATTTTTTTAAATGAACAGATTGAGGTTGGTAGATGGCTTGGCTAAAAATATAGTGCAAACTCTTTGAACAGATTATGATCTCATTTCCTGTGAATTAACAAGAGAAGAAAATGTACGTGGCTTTCTAAGGCAAAGCTGTAGATTCAAGAGTTGAAGTGTCTGAGCTTGTGTTTGCTTGCTTGCTTGTTTGATTTCTTTCTCTTTCTTTCTTTCTCTTTCTTTTTCTTTCTTTCTTTCTTTCTTTCTTTCTTTCTTTCTTTCTTTCTTTCTTTCTTTCTTTCTTTCTTTCTTTCTTTCTTTCCTGTTCCTTTCTTTTCTTTTTGTATGTGAAATTAAACTCAGGATCTTGCACTTGGCAGGCAGGCACTTATGCTGCTGGGCTATATCCCTGGCTGTGAACTTGTGTTTTCTATAGTGTCACATAAACTTGCTTTGGTAGCAGAGAGCTCAGTTTCTTGATCTTGCTGCAGAGAATTGTGTATTGTCACGAGTACAAGAACGAGGCCTGGGTTATGACTGAGCTGGACTGTCTCACTGATAAAGTACAAGTGCAAATTAGGAAACTCTCAGGCTGGGGACTTAGCTCAGCGGCACAAGCACCTGCCTGGTGAGAGTGAGATTGTGAATTTGATCCCTGGGACAAAAAAATCAAAAACAACAAAAAAAAAAACCAACAACAACAACAAAAAAACACAACACTCTGTTCATACCTATAGAGTTAATTTCTTTTCTCATCTCATAAGTTCATTTTCAGATTTATTGGCTAGAATCTCTACAGAGAGCATACACCGTTACACGTGATGCTTTTTATCTTGTTGCTAAATTAAGTCACAGAGTTACCCTTTTTAATGTTTAAAATCAGTAGGACGGAATATAAACATGGCAGTGTTTAAACATTTGCAATATAATTAATACCCGGCAATTCTTTGCTCTTTTCACTTTCTATATCCACTAAGATGTCTTCAGTTATAGTAATAGAAACCTTAGCTTTACTTGGTTTTAAGATCCATGAAAAATATTTTCTCTTAAAACAAGAAGTCTAGATAAAGCTCCTGGGTTTGGTAGTCACTGTGACTCGGATTTTTCCATCTTGCTGCTCTGCTGTCATGAGAGCTGGCTTTACCCTCGGGATTCCTTATAGTTGTGCTGATTGCCAAGTTTTAAGGGCCACACCAGAGAAAAAAGAAATGGTCTTATCACCTGCTTCTTTCTTAAGAGAAAGGGAGCCCTTCTGAGATGCATGCTCTAGGTTTTGTCTTGTCTGTAGTTGAGGAGATTGGGCCCATTTCTCAGCCTTCATTGACAGGGTGTAGTCATGTGCTTGGTGGAACGGATGGAGGAGGGGTAATCTCCACATCTAGTGGTGTACAGAAAAACTGTACTGTGCGAAATACTTACCTTCAAGGGGTGATCAAAATATATGGTAAATGCTTACATTAATTCTTTCTTTCTTTCTTTTTTTCTTCCTTCCTTCCTTTCTTTTTTTTTCTTTCTTTCTTTCTTGTACCAAGGATCAAACTCTCAACCTTGCACTTGCCAGGCAGGCACTTGTGCTACTGAGCTAAGTCTCCAGCCCAAAATGCTTAAATCTTAAAAATATAATACAGTGAAAGAGTCACTGTCATCAGTCCCCTTCAGAGCGCTCCTTGGTCTGAGCACACTCCTGTGGTTCTTGTGGAGCACCCTTCATGGGAAGGCAGACTCAGCATGGTAACGGTGGATCCCCACTGCCACTGTCTTTGCTGGGTCTGGCTCTGTGTGAGCTCTG